GAGGCAGGAGACTCGCTTGAGCCCAGGAGTTGGAGGTTGCTGTGAGCGTGATGCCATGGCACTATCCCCCAGGGGGATAGCTTGAGGCTCCGTCTCAGAAAAAAATAAAATAAAATAAATAAAAATAAAAAGTTTGAGGACCCCTGATCTTGACTCTTTGCCTCCGCGCCTGTAGCTCAGTGGTTAGGGCACTAGCCACATGCCCTGGGGCTGGCATGTTTGAACCTGACCCTGGCCTGCCAAACAACAATGACAACTACACCAAAAAGTAGCCAGACTTTGGGGCGGGCACCTGTAGTCCCAGCTACTTGGGAGGCTGAGGCAAGAGAATCGCTTGAGCCCAAGAGTTTGAAGTTGCTGTGAGCCACAGCACTCTACCAAGGGTGACCAAGTGTGACTCTGTCTCCAAAAAAAAAGAACTTGTGCCCCACCCACCCTGTGAGCTCAGCCAAAGTCAATGCCAAGACCAGTCTAAATGGAGGGAAATTGGAGGACAGTGAGGGGGGCAGCTGAAGTTCCAGCATCATGAATAGGTGTTACAGTTCTGTGATGCCTGGATCACAATGTTCCCTAAGCTGGGGTTCTAGGGTCCCCATTCCACAAGTCTAATCTTAGTTCCTGTCATGTTTATGTTAAAGGTCCAAGACTTTCCTCCTCCCCATGAGCTAACAAGCCACACCCTGCACCAAGCAAAGTCCATCTCTCCTTCCCGCTACCCTAGGTCCTGGGGAGTTTTATTTTCCTGGTAATTCAATGTTTCCAGGAACGGGCAAGTCTCTCTACCTCCCCCTCCCCAGGTTTACTGACATATGAACATACACATGTATAATTGGCACGATTTTGAACCACTCACCTGCTGGCCGTCTTCCCAGGTCTGGAGCCTGAGGAAATGATCTGAAATTGTAGCAGGAGAAATTGAGGTAAGGTACTAAGCTTTTTGGCAGGAGGACCAGGCAAGAGATGTAACATGAAGCAATGAGAGTGAATGCCCAGTATTTAAGGGACGTGGCGGTGGGGGGGGGGGTGATTTCTTCTTTGGGTTATCTTTGGAGGTGGTTTGACAGGAAGAAACAAAGTGGCTTCAAACATTATATGAGTCTCTGGTCTGTTCTATGTCCTGTTCTCTTTCTCTTCTTTTAATTATGGAATCCATATGACCCTGGCAGGGATGTATTTGGGGAAATGATTAGCTGCTAGAGATGCTGCAAATGGTAGATAGTAATAATGGACAACCACGTAGTGTGACAGTGTGGGAGAGAACAGCCCAGACTCCCGCCAAACTCTGTCAACTGACAACAAAACACAGGAGAGTCAAATTGTTGAGTTTATGATGGTCTGGCTGGCTTTTGGCCATGACAGTGACACCCTTGCCTTGTAATTTGGGGCCATAAAAATATTCACAGAAAGCTCTCAAGAGGGAAACAGAACTGGTTATTGAATCACCTGCTTCCCCCAAGTGTATGAAAAATAAAGACTTCAAACTTAGCAACAAATATGAGGAAACCAGAAGGTGCATGTCAAAACTGACAGGGTATTTCTGAAATTTGTGCAGAATCGTGGTTTGTGTGGTCCGTGCCGCTGCTCCCTTGATGGAACTTGAAGTTGGAAGCTAAGTCCTGTCCTCCGGGCTTCTCCAGGGCTGCCTTCTTCTGCCTACAAGCCTTCCGAAGACCCAGCAGAGAAGGAGGTCCTGTAGACAGGAGGCTGTTGGGGTGAGGAGGAGGCCATGCTCCCTTTATGCAAGGAGACCAAGGAGGCAGGAATCTGCCCCATTTGCCAGGAGTGCCTGAAGGAGGCAGTGAGCACCAACTGCGGACACCTATTCTGTAGAGTGTGCCTGACCCAGCACGTGGAGAAGGCCTCAACCTCCGGAGCCCTTTGCTGCCCTGTCTGCCGGAAGCCCTACTCTGAAGGGGTGCTGGGGAAAGGCTATATCTGCCTCAGCCACCAGAAGAGGGTGCGCATGTTTTGTGAGGAAAGGAGACTGCTTCTGTGTATGGAATGCCTGGTGTCCCCCGAACACAAGTCTCATCGGGAGCTGGCCATTGAAAATGCCATCAGCCACTACAAGGTAAGACTGGGTCACTGTGGCCGGCCTCCTGTCCTTGTGTCCTTGAGCTGCTCCTTCCTACATGTTCATTATGCCTGACCCCTCAGAGAGGGTCCACAACTGACACCTTTCTGTTTCTTCTGCTTCATCCTCCTTCGGACCCTTGTCTCTGCTTTTCTGTGTATATTTTGCTACTGACGTTAGTTTCAGTGCATCACTGTGAGTCTGTCTAAAAGAGGATACTGTCACTGTGGTGTCAGAGCTCCAGGAAGCATAGGCCACTGTCAGTCTGCTCATCTGGATAATGCAGATAATGTTCAACTCTTTTAGCACTCAGACTATTTGGCTCCCTGGTTGATAATACTAGAAACTTGGCTAGAAATGTAATCAGATTTTACACACACTAGTAATTCTCCTGTAAATATATTGAAACCTGGAAATTACCTGCGTGATTCTCTTTTTCCTACGTTTGTCTTTTCTTTCCTTTTCCTTTTTTTCTATAATACTTTTAATCTTATTTTGTTAGGTGTTTATTACAAAAGTTATGTATTTTTAGTAATAAATTCAGTAACCCTGAAAGGTATAAAGTCAAAACTAAACATCTTTCTTCCTCTCTCCTTCCATTCTCAGTCCCAGAGGTAGCCATTGTTAGATTTTTGTGTATCCTTCCAGAAAATTGTGTGTGTGTGTGTGTGTGAATCCACTCTTAAAAAAAAACTACACAAAAAATTACCTCTATGTTTTTTTCTGTAACTTATTTTTATCATCTAAAAATATCTTGGCCATGTTCTCACTTTCCATCAGTATGTTTAGATCTCTTGAATTCTTTTCCACAACTGCCTGATACTGAAGTGTATGAATATGCCATGAATTGGCAAACATTGCATTATTCCAGGCTATTGGGGTCTTTTTAAGATTACACACAATGTTGTAATAAACATCCTTCAACATATATTTTGGAGGACTTAGATTTTTCCAAGATATATTTTGGTGAAAGCATAAGGGAGGAATTTAACTTTACTGTTTCCACATTATAGTCAATTTGTCCTACCTATCAGCATTTATTAAATAATCCACATAGTTTCCCTTCTGATTTGGGTACCAACTTCATAATACGCCATCTATTCATGTTTGCTTGAATATTTTCTTGACTCTCTATTTTATTTTATTCTATTTCTGCTGATGAGTCAGATCATTTTAGACATTATAATTTGCAATATGTTTTAATGTCAGTTATTGTGATAGAATCCTCACAATACTTTTTTTTTTCAGATTTTTTTTTTTTTTTTTTTTTTTTTTTTTTTGCAGTTTTTGGCCAGGGCCGGGTTTGAACCCACCACCTCTGGTATATGGGGCTGGTGCCCTACTCCTTTGAGCCACAGGCGCTGCCCTATTTTTCAGATTTTTTTGCAAAGATTTGTGTATTTTTATTTCAATTAGCTTTAGAATTATTTTTACCCACCTTTCCCCCAACCCCAATCTAATTAACATTTGATCAGTTGGAATATTGGCAATATTTTTGCTTGATATCTTTCTAGCCAATAATAAAAGCCGAATTTGCAGAGAGAATATGCTATGATACAAGAAGAGAAAGTGGGAGTCCAGATTGGAGGTAACTATGAAAAGATGGAGAAATAATACAAAAAGCCAAAGAGACAAAGTTCTCTTTGATTCTAACATCATTCCCTCAAGATGCAGTGTCAGCAGGAGAGTGGGGACAGGCATGAGAAACCTAATCACTCACTAAGTGATTTTTTTTTTTTTAGAGACAGAGTGTCACTTTATCACCCTCGGTAGAGTGCCATGGCATCACACAGCTCACAGCAACCTCCAACACCTGGGCTCAGGCAATTCTCTTGCCTCAGCCTCCCAAGTAGCTGGGAATACATGCGCCCACCACAATGCCTGGCTATTTTTTTTGTTGCAGTTTGGCTGGGGCCGGGTTTGAACCCGCCACCCTCAGTATATGGGTCCGGCACTCTACTCACTGAGCCACAGGCACTGCCCTTTTTTTTTTTTTTTTGAGACGGAGTCTCAAGTTGTCGCCCTGTGTAGAGTGCCGTGGCATCATAGTCACAGCAACCTCCAATTCTTCTTCTCTTGCCTCAGTTTTTTTATTTCTAGTAAAAACAGGGGTCTCACTTTTGCTCAGGCTGATCTTGAACTCGTGAGCTCGAGCAATCCACCCCCCTTGCCCTCCCAGAGTGCTAGGATTACAGGCATAAACCACCGCTCCCAGCCACTAAATGATTTATTTATGTCTGTAGTTTGTGCTGGATGGTAGGTATGCTAGGTACTGTGGGAAGTAATCCTTGTCAAGTCTGTCCTTGAGTAATGACAAGAAAACTAAAACAAGTAAAATAACAACATTTGTTAATTAAAGCAAAACTTAATAATTCCTGCTGTGTGTTAGGAACTGCAGTACAAGCTAGGAATCAATGAGCAAGACAGATACTGCCATCCCTGATGCCGGGAACTTGTGTTTTAGTAAGAGAGATAGACAAGAAATAAAATGAATTCTAAGTGTTTAACGAGCTAAGGAAAAGAAGAAAGCAAGGCTCTGAGATGGGGAACAATGTGTGACCCATGTGAGTGATGGAGGAGTGACAGTGAAACTGAGAAGTGCACCAGTGCAAAGACTGGGAGGCAGGGAGCACATGCAGAAGCCCCAGCCCGCCGAAGTCTTGTTGCATTTGAAGAATTTATCATTAGAGTTTGAATCAACAGGATTTACTGATAATTTAGAAGTGAGGTGAGGGAATGAGGAGGATCAAAGATGACTTCATGAGTTTCTGGTTTGAGAAACTGAATGAATGATACAAAAGATAAGGGCTTGGGAGAACAGGTTTGAATGAAACATCGGAGTTTCATTTAGAACAAGTTGAGTCCAAGTTGAGACACATCAAAGTAGGATCTTAGATATGCAGTTGGATATAAAATCTAGATTTCTAGTATTTCCAGAACATAGAACAGTGATCTTATCAGAATAAAGATAATATTTAAGTCCAAGAGAACTGATTCTCTATCCTTAGGAAAGAAGTTCTGGGACAAGATTCTGGGAAAGGCCATGATTCAGATGTAGGGAGAGGAGGACGCAGCAAAGGAGACTTAGGATAAACTGCCAAAAAAAGGCAGGAGTAAAATAAGGGGAGTGGTATATTTTAAGAAGGGATAATAGATTGTGCTGAATGATGCTGTACACAGTAAGATGATGGCAGAGAAGTGAACCATTGACCGGGAGGAGATACACTGTATCATTATAACAGCAGGGAACAAAAGGAGGTGTCTGCAAGTGGAAGGAATTTTGCAGTTTTGGAGATAGTTTGGGTGTTCTGGGTTTTATTTTCTCAATAATATATATGTGAGGAAGGAACCTTCCCAGTGTGGGTAGAAATCTGGATGTGAAAGGTTTGAAAAGAGAGATGACTATGTGATATAGCTTGGAAAAGTGAACCTTTGAGAGACACTGGCTAGTATTGGCAAGCAGTTTGGAGCACCAGTTTGAAGCTTGAAACTGAGGGCTTTAACATGTTCCAAGGATACTTGAGGACAGTCAACCAAAAGGTAATGGCACATTTTACCCAAAGATAGGGAATTGTGTGAAAAATAATACAGAGAGGGAGAAGCAAGAGAGTTGAGGGTGTTTCTGAAGAAGCGATCATAATGGGGGCTCCAGGGTGTGTTTGCAGATGTTGATAGCACAATCTTGCAATTAAGGGGTTTTAAAATTTTTTTTAACTATGTGTTTATTTCTCTGATGTAAAATTTGTAAATTAAATATTATAAATTATATTCTTTTTAAAGGAATTATGTAATCCCTGACTGTATTCTAGAAAGACAGAAAAATTTATAAATCTAGAAAGTCATATTTGTGTATCTGTTTCCTCACTGACCAATGTTGACATCAATCATTTTAATGTGTTTTGCGGGTTTAATTAAGTGTGTAACAGTGACTTACATTGTTTGACTTTGCTTGATTAAAATGCTTCATTTGTGAAGACTCACTGGCTACATTTTCCCTTAGCATCAGGGAATAAATTCTACATGATTGCATCAAAGTACTTTATCTTTTGCATAATAAGCCACATTAGTTATGTTTCACCTATGTTTTTCATTCTGTTATTTCTCTTCTTTATAATTGTAATTTGGGGGCAAAAATTTTAGAAATTTGCATTTATGTGAGTTCCATTCATTTTAACAACATAAGCTCCATGTCTCTTTTTCTTTTTCTTTTTCTTTTTTTTTTTTTTGAGACAGAGTTTCACTATGTCACCCTCAGTAGAGTGCTTGACATAAATTAAGTTCTTATAATAAACTATTTTATTTTTACTCCAGTTCGTTGACTTTTTTTTTCTGTTTTAAGGTTATTATTAATGTAAGGGGGGTTTGTTGTTCGTGGGGTTTGTTTTTGTTTTTATTTTTAGAGAGAGATAGGATCTTGCTCTATCACTGCAGGTAAAGTGGAATAGGCTGATCATAGCTCAGTGTAACCTTAAATTTCTAGGCTCAAGTGGTCCTCTCAACTTTGACCCCCAAAGTGCTGAGATTGCAGGCAGGAGCCACTGTGTCCACCCATTATTATATATTTTTGATACTTGTTACTTTATGGCTCATCTTTAAGTCTAGCAGCATCTTTGCCATTTAATTTTTTTTTCTCTTCCTCCATATCCAGAGATTAACAGGTTTTTATTACCTGACATTTTGGTTGACTGTTCTTTCAGATGAATGCTCTCATACAAGGTTGCTAAGTTTTATAGAGGATTCCCTTAGATTTGGTCATGGCATTAAATTTGTTGGTTACTTTAAGAATCATCACTTTGAGGAGTTTCTTTCATTTTCTCAACCAGTAACTGGATATATCACTAAGAGTTTTCCTTTACATATCTGAATCATATTAACTTGTCTTTATTTAAAGTTCATGTGCCCTAACTCTATTTAAGAGTAGCTATATATTTTATAATGTTGGATTTTTACCAGTTTGGACTTGTAGATTCAAATAAGACTCTTTGCTGAGGTCATATATTTATGCATATATCCTTTAAGTTAATATTATGTTGTTTTCTAGATCATAATCATGAGGGAAATGTCATTTTTATCCACCTTGGGAAGCTATTTGTTCTTAAGGAGTGTGCATTTTGAAAGTTGGTAATATTATTTACTGTGTCAGAGATACATACTTTTCATCTAACAACTTTTTCTTTTATTTATTTGTTAGTAAGTTGAGAACAAATGTATGTTAATGTTGCTAGTTTCTCATGTTTCACCATCATTTAATGACTTTTTTTTTTTTTTTTTTTTGAGACAGAGTCTCAAGCTGTTGCCTTGGGTAGAGTGCCATAGCAACCTCCAACTCTTGGCCTCAAGTGATCCTCTTGCCTCAGTTTTTCTATTTTTTTTAAGTTATTTTATTTATTTATTTTATTTTATTTTTGCAGTTTTGGCTGGGGCCGGTTTCGAACCCACCACCCTGGGCATATGGGACCGGTGCCCTACTCCCTCAGCCACAGGCATGACCCAGTTTTTCTATTTTTTAGAGATGGGGTCTTGCTTTTGCTCAGGCTGGTCTTGAACGCATGAGCTCAAGCAACCCACCTGCCTTGGCCCCCCAGAGTATTTAATGACTTTTTATGAAAATTTTTTTGTTTTAATGTGATTTCAAGTGTGGAATCACAATTTATCTGCTACCTGACAAAGTGACAAACTTTTAAAAATATTCTTTAAAGCAAGACAGGCCTTAGACTACTTTCTATATTTCTTTTTTTTTTTTTCCTTTTTTTAATTGCTGAGGATTCATTGAGGATACAAGAAACCAGGTTACACTGATTGCATTTGTTGGGTAAAGTCCCTCTTATAATTGTGTCTTACCCCCAAAAGGTATGGCATACACCAAGACCCCACCCTCCTCCATCCTTCCCTCTCTCTCTGCTCTTCCTTTCCCCCACCTCTCCCTCCTTCTTTCTCTCTCTGCTCTCTACTTTCTGTATTTCAATTTATCTTTTTTTCTCTCAAAGGAATATCTTTTTTCTCTCTCTCTCTAAGTAAAAGTTTAAAGAATTTTGCTGGGTTTTTTTTTTTTTTTTTTGAGACAGAATCTCAACTTTGTTGCCATCAGTAGAGAGCCATAGTGTCATAGCTCATAGCGACCTCAAATTCTTGGGCTCAAGAGATCTACCCACCTTGGCCTCTCAGAGTACTAGGATTACAGCTGTGAGCCACCATGCCCAGCCCCAAGATTTGCTTTTTAATTCCAATGAGTGCCTTATTCACATGATATAAACCCATCAAATATCATTTTAATGAAAAAAGTTGATGAATAAGTATTTTTTTAAAACCAAAGACTTTACCTTATTCATTTTGAAAACTAACAATATGACTGTGTTATCTTCAATTGTTCCATGTGTTTATCTTTATTGCTGTTATCTTTGCTCTCTATCTTTGTTCTCTTTTCATTGCACAGTGTCTGTAGTTGAATGTATTAAACTTTAGACTTCCAGATGGTAGGACTGTGGCTTTTTGAACTGGACCTTGACAAGCCTGATTCTGACAGGCAGAAAGAATATTCCTGGCAGGGAGAAGCAAGAGATAAGCCATAAGGAGGGTGGCTGCACAGGTGTGTTCAGGAAACTGAAACAACCCTGTGAGCTGGTGAAGAGAGTCTGGAGGAGCACAGAGAACCCTGGAAATATAAATTGGGGGAGACCCATAAGCCATGCTCCTGTTAGCCAGTTATTACCTCCCACTCTGTCTATGAGTTTTTTATCCTCTCTGATGGGAAATGCCTGCAGGTAACACCCAGGCACATGGGTGTTTTTAAACATGGCGCATTTTTAACACCTTTGTGGTGACATCATTGTCTCCTCCTCTTACTGAAGCTCTGTTTCCTGAATGCCCTCGCTAACCTCTCACACACGGTCCTGGGGTCTCAATTTCAGCAACGGAATCTCAGACCATCTTGTCCATCCCTTGACTTCTACATGTACATCTCCAAAATCTCCTAAACAAAATTTTTTTGAAACATACTCTTCAGTTAATGAAGGAAGTTTGTCCTTATCTTTAGTTTACAAGTCCTTTTCTTGTGTTATTTATTTTCCATTTTATCACTATTCCTCTCCCATCCCCCCTCCATGGACAACCATTAAAGGCATTTGTTCTTTTTCTTATATGTAGAAGATTTGGCAAAACACATATTGCTGTATTTTGTGTTTGCATATTTAATTTATAAAATAGTATGATATTGTAGGCAACATCCTATTTCTTGCCTTTTCATTATACACCAAATCTTTAAGATCAATCCATGTTTTGCGGCAAACAGTCTTTGGCTTCTGACAGCTTCACAGGGTCCCACAGAGGGATCTGCCACATTTTACTTAACTATTTCCCCAAGAATGGACTTTACATGACCCCAACTCTGCTGCCACAAAAAATGATGTAGTGTGCATGTCCTCTCATGGCCTAAGTGAAGAATTCTCTAGTATATTGACCCAGAAATGGGACAACTGGATCACAGACGGAAGCACACATAGGTGCCTGGGACCCTCTGTGGAACGACTGAGCCAGCATACATCTCCAAGCCTGGGGTCCTCGTGCACCTCCCCCACCCTGGGAATATCCAGTTGTCTGATTTTTATTAATCTGAAAGACGTCAAATGATATTTGACTGCTGTGTTAATTGCCATTTCTCAAATCCAGAGGTTCTCAACCTGTGGGTCGCGACCCCTTTGGACTGTATTAAAGGTTCACAGCATTAGGAAGGTTGAGAACCACTGCTCTAATCACTGATGAGCTTGGGCATCTATTCTTCTGTATTATATAGCCTTTTGCATTTCCTCTTCTGTGAATTAACTGTGAGTTAATCTACTCTGCAGATTTTTCTGTTGGGCTTCTATCTTCTTGTTGACATATAGGCTTACCTTTCTCTATTCTGCATATAACTTTCTTGTTGATTAAAGACATTGAAGATATCATCTCTTAATATCTCATTTCTCTGTTAATTTTGTCCATAGTGCTGTCATTAACAGAAATACTTGATGTAATCAAATTTTAAAATTCCCTCATGGTTTGTGCTTTGAGGGGATTACTTAAAACAACTTTCTCTACACCCAGGTCTCAAATCTACATGCTAACATTTTTTTCTGTTTATTTTATAATTTTACCTTTCACACTTAGGTCTTTGATACATGTGGAGTCCACCTTCACACATAGTTCTAGGTAGGGAACCAGTTCTACTGCTCTATTATTGTAAACCTGTTTTCTCAAGTCCATCTTGTTCAGATTCTGTCCTTTCACACTGATTTGTATGCTGCCTTTTCTTTTTAAATTCCTTTATAAAACGAGCCTGAGCTCTCTCTTTCATTTTCTATTTCTTCTTGCCCCAGTACTATTGTTATTACTATGGCTTTGAATGCTTTTTTATCTGGTAGGGCAAGTACCTTTTGCAGCTAATCCCACAGTGGATTACAAAAAGAAGGTTTCCAGGGTCTTTTGTTGATACCCTCCCCTTTCTTCCACTTTGATTCATTACAGGCCTATGTTGATATCAGGACTAGCTTTGTTTATTTTTGCTTCTCTTATAGTTTATCAAAAACCTAAAAGTGAACCTTTTTTTAAGAAATTCAAATCATCCACTCTGTGCACAGTTTTAAGGACACACTGACCTCTCCAGATACTGATTTAAGATTGAAAGAGAGAGACCAGGCTTGGTGGTTCACACTTGTAAACTTAGCACTCAGGGTTTGAAACCAGCATAAGCAAGAGCAAGACCCTATCTCTACTAAAAGTAGAAAAATAGCCAGGTGGGGTGGCAGGTGCCTGAGTTCCCAGCTACTCGGGAGGCTGAGGCAGGAGGATGGCTTGAACCCAGGAGTTTGAGGTTGCTAAGAGCTAAGCTGATGCCATGGCAGTCTAACCGAGAGAGCACATGCCTGCCTGGGGCTGTGGGTTTGCACCCAATCAAGGGTTCTTGCTGGCCTTGCTGGAGAGGACCAGGGAGGAGCGGTACCAGAGGTTGTCACCTCCTCTTTAATACATTTCTCTCCAGACTGGCTTCACTTGTTAATGTGAAGTAGTAAGAAGTGCCAGAAGATCGTCATGTAACTTTTATATGTTGGGAGAAAAGCACCCTGAAGTCAATAAGAAATGGTTCTGATACTGTTATTTTGGTGTAGTTCTAAGACTTAAAAAAATTATTCATTACCTTTTTCTCATAATTATCCTTTAAATAAAATCTCAAGTTCCTTTCGCCAAGCATGACACCTGAAAGGCACTTATTTTTAGGCAGAATTTTGTATTTGCCTCATCCTGGCTTTCAGAACCCCACTGTATTCCATCGCCTCCTCCCCATGGGCGCCACCCTCACCCCAATCTGACAAGCAGGTGTGTCTGTGTCTTTAGGAACGACTCAACCGCCGGAGCAGGAAGCTCAGAAAGGACATTGGAGAACTTCATCGGCTCAAGGCTCAGGAGGAGGAGAAGCTGCAGGCTCTGCAGGTGGGTTTCTCGGCTTCCTGGGGAGGACCAGCTTGAATCCTCAGGGGCCCTTACTTCCTGTTCTGCACACCTGTCCCTGGAGCAACCCTATGTGTGGGGGGCTTATGAAGGCTGAAAATCTGGTGTCGGCCTTGGCGTCAGGCTTGCTAGCTGAGTGACTTCGGGCAAGTTAAGCCCCTGATCTTCATGTGACTTACGTGTTAACTGAAAAGCAATCCTGGTAGAGCCCGCTCTACCTCGCTCACAGTACGGACCAAAGGAGACAAGCGCCTCACAAATTGAAAATTACACAAGCCACGGCTCTCCTTTCTGTCTCTGAGAATATACCTTTCTTTTCCTTTTGCTCATTTGAGCATGACATCTCTCTCCTTACCTTCTAACCTAAAAAGGGCTAAATGCAGGCTGTGAGAAGGTGTGGCCAACTGACGTGTGTGTCCATTTGTGTGTATATGTGTGTGGCTCTGTATGTGTCCTTGTGTGTCTCTCTACATGTACGTGTGTTATGTATGTGTCTGTGTGTCTGTATGTATGTGTCTAGGAGTGGGTTAGTGTGTGTTACATGTGTATGTATGTATACACACATGTATGTGTGTCCCTTTAAGTATGTAAATGTGTGTGGTGTGTGTAAATGCATGTATGTGTGTATATGCATGTGTCTGTGTGTTTGTATGTGTATATATGTGCATATATGTGTAAATGTGTGTATATCTGTGTGTGTGTCTAGGAGTGTGTATGTGTGTTATGTGTATCTGTGAGTGTATGTGCATATGTGTGGTTCTCTGTGTGTAAGTGTGTACATGTGTGTGCCTGTGTGTATATGGATAAATCTATGTATGTTGTATATGTATATATTGTGTACATGTGCACATGTGTGTATATTTGTGTCTATGTGAGTTGGTGTGTGTACATGTGTATATGTATGTATGCATGCATTTATGTTTCTCTGTCTTTGTATGTGTGTAGGTGTGTAGTCTGAGTGTATATGTCTATATGTGTGTGTGTATGTATGTATGTCCCTTGAGTATGTGTGTATGTGTGTATGTGTGTTACGTGTATGTCTGTGTGTACCTAGGTGTATTAATGCATGTCTGTGTTAGTGTGTGCCTGGGTTTGTCTCTGTGTATGTGGGTATGTGTGTCTCTGTGTGTGTGCATACATGTGTTTGTGTGTCTGTGTTTCCCTCCAGGGAAAGACATGGCATCTGTAGACATTCACAAGAGTGTGAGGTGGGAAGGAGAGCTGTCTCTGCCTTTGTGAGGATCGCAGCTGCCTCTGCAACACCTACACATGGAGAGGCAGCCCCATGAGGGAGGGGGACCGAGGACTCTGCACCCACACTCAGATTTTCAGAGACTGGCAAGGACCAGGAGGCAGCCATCTGACACTGAATCTTCCCCCTTTCTATTGTTTCAGGTAGACCATGGGAACCACAGGCTGGAGGCTGAGCTGAAGGGCGAGCACCAACTCAGCAGACAGCTGGATGCCCTCCCTCAGCAGCATCTGGACCAGCTGGAGGAAATGTCAGCAGAGGTGGTCAGAATCCTTGACATCTCCAGGGCAGTAGCACAGCTCAGCAGCCTGGTCACTGATCTGGAGAGGACAGCCAAGGAGCTAGATGCCAACACACTGAAGGTGCAATCCTGAGGCCTTTCTCAAAGGCTGGGATTCTCCCCAAATGCTAGGTGTAAGAGGGAGGGGCTCATGTGACATGTGGTGGCATGTGCTGGTGGTGGCTTGTCTCAGACCACACAGTGCTTCTGCAGTAGTGTGGGTACAAAAGAAGGGTGATATCCCCTCATTTCTCAAGGTGACACACCAGAGTAGCCTCCAAGAGTGAGTTGGGAAGGGCATTTGGAAGTGATGGGAACTTGTGAACTGATTGTGATCCTTACTCTCTTTCTCTCTCTCCTAGAATGCCAGTGACTTACTGATAAGGTATGAGCCATCCTTCATTCCTTCCCACATGTGGACAAATGTACAAACCCACGCAACATAGATGCACACAGGGCCTAATGTAGGTCAAGGAGACCACTGCTCCGTTAGCTTTCGTATCTTCATGCTATATAGCCAGTGGAAGATTCAATGGAATATGTGAATATAATGAATTTATGAAGGATTTCTTTGTTTCTAGGAGTGCTCCAGAGAAATTAGAGATTATTTATCCTGAGCTGGAGAAAAAAGTCAATGAATCACTTCTTCAGCCCTCCTCCACAGCTCTGACCTGTTCACGCCCGGGCCACCTCATTTCAGACTCACCTCGGCCTCCTCTCTCTCCTTCCTCCAACCTGTCCAGCCCCCCGTTAGGTGTACCCAATGCATCTTCAGGACCGCCATCTCCTGAACGCTTCCCCATTTCCTCATACCTACAGACATCACCTAATGCCTAACCCTCTGACTCTTGGATAATAGCCGCAGCCTCCTTCCTGAATCAGGTGATGGGTGGGCCTGCCACTGTGGCAGTCAGAATCCATGATCTCCAGGACCATTTGCAAGGTCACCATTTTACCTGTGGACTGGTGGTAGTGCCCACATCTCATGATCTCATATTAAAATGGGAGAGCCCAGACATCTGAACGGCATGAGCCCACCAGTGGTGATGCCACCTCAGCACAGTGAGCCCAGCAGGTGCATTGAAAGGAACATTCCTCTTGAGCTCCCGTAACATCTGTTGTCTGCGCCACTCACCCAACACTCAAGCATTATTGCTGTGACAGATGGACTCAGAGACATCCACCCCATGAGCCTTGCCTTTGGTATTTGTGCCCCATGTAGTCCCTTCCCCTTCAGTGTGAGTGAGATCTGTGACTTGCTTCTTATCAATGGAACATGGCAAAGGTGATGGGGTGTCCCTCCGGAGACTGTGTTGCTCGAATTGGACTCCTCTTTCCTAGCAGACTCACTCTAGAGACTCTTCTTTCTGTCTTGATGAGTGAGTGGCCCCATGGCAAGGACCTGCAGGCAACGCCTAGGAGCCAAGAACAACCTACAGTCTGCAGCCTCCAGCCAGCAAAAAGCAGAGGCTCTCAGGCTTGTGGCTGCAAGAATCTAAATCCTGGCTAGGCACAATGACTCATGCCTGTAATCCTAGCACTCTGGAAGGCTGAAGAGGGTGGATTGCCTGAGCTCACAGGTTCGAGACTACCCTGAGCCAGATGGAGACCTTGTCTCTAAAAATAGCCAGGTGCTGTGTTGAGTGCCTGTAGTCCCAGCTACTCAGGAGGCTAAGGCAAGAGAATCACTTGAACACGAGTTTGAGTTTGTTGTGAGCTATGATGCCATGGCACTCTACCAAGGGAGACAAGGTGAGACTCTGTCTCTTAAAAAAAAAAAAACTGGGCAGTGCCTGTGGTTCAGTGGGTAGGGCACCAGCCCCATATACAGAGGGTGGTGGGTTTGAACCCAGCCCCAGCCAAACTGCTATAAAAAAAAATAGCTGGACATTCTGGTGGGAGCCTATAGTCCCAGCTACCTGGGAGGCTAAGGCGGGAGTTGCTTAAGCCCAGGAGTTAGAGGTTGCTGTGAGCTGTGATGCCACGGCACTCTACCAAGAGTATTAAAGTGAGACTCTGTCTCTTTAAAAAAAAAAAGTTTATCTTGTCAACAACCTGAGTTGAAAGCAGATTCCTCTCCAAAGCTATGCCCAAATTTCTGAACCATGGGAACTGTGAGACAATAAATATGTGTTGTTTTAAGACAGTAAATTTGTGGCAATTTTTAGGGATCAGTAGATTACTAACACCGTTGTATATCAGTAATTTGTACATATGTCTCACTTCTTTGGGTGAAGCAGTGCCTGACTCATCCTTGGTGTCTAGTCAAATTTTAAATGGATGCATAAATGAATTAAAAGAAAGTCTAAGGGCCCTTGGTGATCTTCCTTATTTAAAGGGAGCCATCAATCATCTTTATACTAGATTTACTGAGCCCTTGATGAAGTAGTCAGTACTATACTAGGCACTGAGGGATATAAAGAATAAAACATGCCCACAAGATGGTACTATGTGGTAGTGCAAAGAGTGAAAACTCAGGAGCCAGACTTGAGTTCAGGTCCTAGTCCCAACACCTAAAACCTCTGTAACCCTGGGCAAGTTTACATAGCTTCTCTGAACTCTGCACTACTCCCTCTATAAGGAGGATAATGGTACCCATGGCCTAGGATTGTTGTCAAAATTAAATATCATATTATGCAAGCTAGGTGTCTGCTGCAGTACCTAACATACTATCATCATTCAAATATGTTAACTTAGTCTTTTTTTTTGAGACAGAGTCTCACTTTGTTGCCCTTGGTAGAGTGCTGTAGCATGACAGCTCACAGCAATCTCAAACTCTTGGGCTCAAGCAATTCTCTTGTCTCAGCCTCCCAAGTACCTGGGACTATAGGTACCTGCCACAACATCTGGCTATCCTTAGAGATGGTCTTGTTCTTGCTTAGGTTGTTCTCAAACTCATGAATTTAGGCAATCCACCCACCTTGCCCTCCCAGAGTGCTGAGCTTACAGCTATGAGCCACTGTGCCCAGTTCAGTCTTCTAAAAAATTGCACCACCACCCCCATCCACAAAGTATAATCTAGATGTGGAACCAGGACAAACTCAAATGGAATAGTACGAGAATGTGTGTCTGCATTAAGTGTCACAGATTCTAGGCACTCTTGGAATTCAGAGAAGAAACCCAAGTAAGGCTGGAAAAGTCAGGATAGTTTTTGTAGGGGACCTGGGGATTGGACAGGTGAGAGAGAACATTCCATGTCAGGATAACCACACAGATGAAAGCAGGAAGGTAGGAAAAAGCCACAGCATGGTGGCACCTGTATCTCAGTGGGTAGGGCGCTGGCCACATACACCCAGGTTTGCAGGTTCAAATCTGGCCCAGGGTCAGCTAAAAAGCAATGACAACTGCAACAAAAAAATAGCTGGGCATTGTGGTGAGCGCCGGTAGTTTCAACTAGTTGGGAGGCTGAGGCGAGAGAATCACTTAAGCCCAAGAGTTTAAGGTTGCTGTGAGCTATGACACCACAGCATTCTACTGGGGGTAACATAGTGAGAATCTGTCTCAAAAAAAGAAAAAGAAGAAGAAGAAAAGAAAAAAAGAAAAAGCTGTAGCATATTTGCCCAAGTGTGAGGAAACTGATCCAGTTAGTTTAGAATTTTCCAGGATGGGAAAGACTAGAAGTCTACAGGATGGATGGATAGTACCACTGACAAAGTGAGTCATCAAGGTTTTTGAGTAAGTAGTGAAGCAGAAAATAGTGTTTAAGAAAAACCAGTTTGGAAGCTTTGTCCAAGATGGACGGGGGCAGGAATTGGGGGTTGGAGTGAGGAAGAGAAAGAGTCTAGTGTTCATGGAAAAAGGTGTAGTTGCTAGGCAGGAAGCTGTAGATCTCAGAGAAACATGAGACCCCAAATCTACAAGGTCTGACAATTAAGTTCTCATACCTGACATTGTGCTCTGATGTCAGCAGCACTGTACAAACAACTTAGTAGGGTTCTCACAGCTGTGTTCCTGCGACGTGTGGTGGTGTCTGCCTGAATGTTGTTCATCGTTGCATGTTTTTGTGTGGTGTGGCAAGAATGTCAAACCTTGAATTAGAGCAACAAACATACATAAATTTATTTCTTGTTAAACTTGGCAAGAGTGGAAATGAAATCAGGGACATGTTAGTCCAAGTTTATGGAGATAATGCTATGAAGAAAATGGCAGTGTACAAGTGGATTAAATATTTTCCTGAGGAAAGAAAATGTGTTACTGATAAAGAGAGGTCAGAGCAGTCAGTAATGAGCAGAGCTAATGAAAACATTGTAAAAATTTGTTTAATTGTGTGTCAAAATCAATGGCTGACTGTCAGAAGCACAGAAGATGAAATAAACATCAACAGAGCAACAATTAGGAAAATCTTAACTGAAAATCTTGGCCAAGACCTCATGGCTTTTGCATCACAACAATACACCAGCTCATATGGCACACTCTGTGAGGGAGTTTTTAGCCAGGAAACAAATAATTGTTTAGGAACATCATCCCTGCTCACCTGATCTGGCCCCCAGTGACTTTTTTCTTTACCTGAAGATAAAGGAAGACATTTTGACAACACTCAAGACATCAAGGGTAATATGATGACAGCTTTGATGGCCATTCCAGAATAAGAGTTCTAATACTGTTCTGAAGGGTGGACTAGGCACTGGCATAGTGCACAGCTTCCCAAAGGGAGTACTTCCAAGGTGACTGTAATGATATTCAGCAATGAGGTATGTAGCACATTCTCTACAATCAGTTTGGAAACTGACTTGGCAGGTCTCATAAGAACTAGACATTAGCCAAGAAAGGAACATTCACTCCTGAAGGTGACAGCTAAAAATCCTTGCACCCCAGGTGGGGCTAATCCTTGCACAGAGAACTTGTACCAGGACTGGAAGGAAACTGACAGCCCCAAGGGTCTCTCAACTGAAGAAAAGTCCCATTACTGCATAGGCACTGCCAGGCTTCCCTCAGCCATCTTCTGACCAATAGGCCAGGGATGACACAGAAGATCAGGCTGGGGCTGAACATCTGATCAGCAGATGGTTGGCCAATCAAGTCTATGAGGTGGCCAGTTGAGAAAATTCTTATCAAAGAGAGACAATGATAATTAACTGAAACCCTGGAAACTCAGAAGGGAATTGTGAGGAAACTGCCATTAGCTGGCCAGAAGAGCAGGTGCAGAGGGAATCAGAGCTGCACACAAGGCATGTACTGGAGCAGGTGTTCATGACCCATGCTGCTGAAAGACCACAGGATAATCTAGCCTCCACGGTTCCTTGGACCTCAAACCCCCTTCCTACCCATTCTTGAACACACAACATACAGCATAATGGTCATGACCACAGACTAGAGAGCAGAACCCATATGTCTGCTCTGCTACTTATTACCATCGGTTGTTTTGGAACCAGTTACTTGACCTCCATATCTCAGTTCCTTTATGTACAAAAGGGGGATATTAATAATAGCACCCACCTGATAGGGTCTCTAATGCCAGTGTTCTGATAGAAACTCAGGCATAGAGGGCAGACCTCCCATGTTGCTTATCCAGCTCCTGGTGGCCAGGGAGCTGTATTACACTAAAAGTCTACATTCTTTCATATGAAAGCTATAAATTAGTTATTATAGCCTAAGAATATGGGGCGGGGAGGGGGTAGATGGGTGGAGGGAGGGTGATTGGAGGGATCACCTCTATGGTTTGTCTTACGGGGTACAAGTGAATCTTTCTAAAAGTAGAGTATAAACATCTTAACACAATAACTAAGAAAATTGACATAAAGTCTATGTTAACCAGTTTGACGAAAATATTTCAAATTGTATATGAAAACACCACACTGTACCCCATGATTGCATTAATGTACATAGCTATCATTTAATAAAAAATATATACAAAAAAAGTCTACATTTTGAGATCCACAATCGGGACATACAGAAGGCCTGTACACCTTTATACGGAGGAGAATAGTGGTGACATGCCAAACAGCAGTTACATATGCATGCCTTCACTGTACACAGTTATGGCTATGTAAGAACACGTGGCTCTTTGCCATGGGTAACAAAGCCTAGACAAGTTTATCTTGTCCCATACCCACGGCCATGGGTGAGAAACCCCAATGTTGGTGCCTGCTGTGGGCACCCCGTTACCTCATGAATAAAAGCACTCAGGACCACAGATTGAAGGTACAAAATGCCTGCAAGAGGGGGGCTTCCCATATTCCAGGGAGTACCCGGAGCAACCTTTGCCATGGCCTTTTATTGAAGCATTATACAACAGGTGTGGGGGCCCACGCACAAGAGCTACACGCTTAATGATCACTACATGCTCTTTCGCCCCAGGCTCAACTCCCACCCTGCTGCACCACAAATATCCAATGTATAACACCTGCTTGCTAACAAGCAAGGGATCTTATCTCATTATCGCATGCATCTGTTTGAGGGCTTATCTCCACCAGCCAAACATCTCCATGCTGGCTAGGAGATTGTCCTGCTCCCAGTGCCTCCCTCAAGAGCCAGTGACCACTTCCAAAAGCTTGGTACAGGGTCTCCTACACTCCAAACCACTTTTGTCTATTCCTATAGGGTCAATGTGAGGATTAAATGAGTTAGTATATAAATATTTATTGTGGTGTCTGGCCAAAATGGTTCTATGTGTGTATGTTATTATCACCAGCACTTTTTTTTTCCAGACAGAGTCTCCCTATGTTGCCCTGGGTAGAGTGCCCTGGCACCACAGTTCACAGCAACCTCAAACTCTTGGGCTTAAGCGATTTTCTTGTGTCAGCCTCCCAAGTAGCTGGTACTACAGGCACCCACCACAACACCTGGATATATTTCTGTTGTTATTGTCATTATGGTTTAGCAGGCCCAAGCTGGGCTCGAACCCTCCAGTCTTGGGGTATGTGGCCAACGACCTAACCACTGAGCATGGGCGCCGAGCCATCACCAGCATTTTTTGCATCTCTAGCTCTTCTTACAGAAACTGGTGGTCACCCTTACTGCCCCACCCCACCCCTGCCATAACTTCCCCAGAAGCCTGGCTAATGATGGAGAATCCAATTTTCCTCATTTCTCTGTGTGTTCATGTAATAAATTTTCCTGTTATTTGAACTAACTTGAATGGTTCTCTTATTTTTGCAAAAGAAAGAGTTGCTACGATGTAAGCTGTGAATAAATCAGGTGTAAACTTGTGGATGTTGAGCGTGCAATAGTCCTTTGGCATCTTGGAAGGGACAATAAGGGAGCACAGGAGCCTCTAGAGCAATCATTCTCAACCTTCCTGATGCGGCGACCCTTTAATACAGTCCAAGGGGTCGCGACCTACAGGAACCACAGCATTTGAAAAGTTGAGAACCACTGCTCTAGACTTTGGCACTGCCTGGGGAGGGAACTGGAAGCCCTGCTCCTGGAGGGCAGAACACAGAGGTTCATCCAGCTGCCTTTGTCTTGAAGCTATCATGTTGTAGATCTATCTACTTCCTCTGCTGACTCTACATTCTAAAAGCAAGTAAGCTTCAAGTATTAAATAAAATTACCCTAGGGGAGGACCATTTTCACTTGCTGGCAGTTTTATTTTTCAGTGCAAGAAATGTAAATTGTCTTTCTGAATCCAAGTCATTCATGGGGAGTGTAGCCAGCCTTCAAGTATTCACCAGGACCCACCTGGGCATCAATTTCTGAATAAGGCAGTACAGTATAATGGTTAAGAACTCTTGAGGCCAGGTATGGTGGCTCACACATGTAGTCCCAGCACTTGAGGAGACTGAGTCAAGAGGATTCCTTGAGGCCAGGAGTTCAAGACCAGTGTGGGCAACATAGTAAGACCCTGTCTCCATAAAAAACAAAAAATAAAAGAGCTCTGAGTCAGACATGAATTAAAAATCTAGCTGTGTGATGTTAGCTAAGCAAATAATCAAAACTCAATAGGCCTCAGCTTTCTTAACTTTAAAAGTGAGATAATAAAAGGATCTAGCTGGGTGTAGTGGCATGAGCCTGTAATCCCAGCTTCTTGGGATGCGGGAGTATCACCTGAGCTCAGAAGCTCAGGACCCCTGGGCAATATGGCAAAACTCTGTCTCTTTAAAAAAAAAAAAAAAAAAAAAAGATATACCTCACAGAGTTACCGTGGTTAAGTGATAGAAAATGTGTAAAGCCCCCCAACAGCAGGCCAGGATCTTCATACACATATACAGGATAGGCTAATAGAGGCCAATAGTCATTTTTAAAGACCCAGCTAAAACCAATAAAAATAAACAGAAAAATATAATTCACTTTTTAGTAGAATCTCAGGTTTTGGAGTTTGGGATATGTTTTAAAATACAGGCACTTGTATGTGTCTATTTTATTTTTGGAATATATAACATTTTATATGAAATAAGGAATACTCCCAGGGAAAACAATACAATCTCCCTCCAATCCCTGGCTCTTGCTCTCCAAGATTTTTTTCATCAGATGAATTCTTAGCCTGGGCCTTAAGCACTCTGTGCCCTGTCCCATTGAGGTTACACTCAGGATAGTTCCCATCCTCCAAGAGGACAGAGTAGGGAAAAGATAGAACTTTGTAACTTATGTCTGAGCAGAGTAGACAGATAATGTTAAAGGTACTGTAAGTGAAGGGCATGATTACAAAGAATAAAATACAACATCAACAAAAACTAGAAAATAAAATGTGGTCACTCAATATAGTTAAGACAATACTTTTATTATGCATAGGATTTACAATAATCTCACCTTGGGACAACTGATAGCATTTTCCAAATTCTAAGCAACCATGTGTGAGCATACAGGCCTGTCCTTCCAGCACCAGGCCGGGGGATTTCCAACTGACCAATAGCCAGCTTCTAAACACCATGCCCACCCGTGGCCTCCCCAGCACCACCTAGCTTCCTGTCTCTCATAGAGCTGTCCACTCCAAATCTACTTATCTTCTCCAAATCCCTAATCGTTCCCTTCTTCCACCCCACTTCTCAGATGTCACATTTGGTCCAGCCCTAAGCAGTCTCAACTTTTTAGGCCAGTGGTTCTCAACCTGTGGGTTGCGAACTGTACTAAAGGGTAGTGGCATTATGAGAACCACTGCTTTAGGCTAAAGGTTATAGGTCATTCAACTTATACCCCTGACCTCCTGGGATTTTTTACACAGTACAAGGGTGCAGATGGTGCCATTTCTGCTCCCATATCTGAGCTCTTTATGATTCATTTGCTTCCACTATCTCATTTCTTTTTTTTTTCTTTTTTTTTTTTTTTTGTGTGGTTTTTTTGGCCAGGGCTGGGTTTGAACCCACCACCTCCCGCATGTAGGGCCTGTGCCTCACTCCTTTGAGCCACAGGCGCCGCCCACCACCATCTCATTTCTTAACCTCAGTCATCAATTGATGAGAAAGAAATTTTTCCACAGGGTTAAATGTGGTCCTTGAGTTGAGGTTTATGGCCATGCCTCCCCTAGGCCCTGCACCTTCATCTCAGAAATGGCACCACCAGGTTGAGGGAGGGAGGGAGTGGGCCAGAGGAGGGATAGCACACATCTGCTCATAAGGGCAATAAAGATATCCCACTGTTCCATGGTCATAGGGCACCAGTGAGTTCTCTGATGCTCCCTCTTCCTAAGATGGCCTTCCCTCATTTACCATACATGTTTGTCCTTTAGACCCATCCCCTCCAGCGAGCCATTACCGACTCATCCTCTCACTCCAGGCTGGACTATGCCTCCCTTCTCTGAGCACCACAGGGCCAAGGTCAGACCCCTGACACAGCATCCACCACACTGTGCTGTAACTTCCTCTGTATGTCTCATCTCTTCCCAGGAGTGCCATCAGATACAGAACAGGCATTTTTCTTTTTATTTTCACATCACCAGTGCCTACCACTTGGCTCATAGGTAGCACACAATAAATGTTTCTTGAGGATGTGAGTATATGAACCCAATAATTTTTGAAGAAAAGATGAAGGGAGGTGGGAGGTGAGATTCCTCACTTAAGGTCATACAATTGCTTGGTTACAAGGCTGATTCTAGAACTCAGGTCTTCTGACTCCAAATCCAATGCTCTCTCCTGAACACAGCTACCTACTTCTGTGCTTGGTGGGGATGTCAGTGAGAGGAGCTGGAAGCAGCCTGGATCCCCAGGTACGCTGGCCATTCATTGGTCACAGGGCAAGGGGCTTGATCAGCAAGCAGATTCAGGGTCAACCCTTGACCCTGGCTCCAAATCATTGTCTAAAATAGTCATTTCTATTCCAAGTCTTCAGGTGACTCAGCCAGGGATCAAGTCAACATAGCACTTCGTGTAAGGCCTGTACTTAGAGGAGGGTAACTGCACCCTGTCAGTAGCTAAGGGAGAAACTGGACCTCCGGCCCCAGAGCCCAAAGAAGGGAAAGACCCTCCTAGTGAAGGAGGCAGTGAAGGTGTAGATAGGCTCGCAGGTGACAGCATTGGCAAAGGTCACCCAGCCCACCTCATAGTCGAGAGACACCCGCACCTGCTGGGGCTGCTCCCTCAGCGCAAGCCTCATGGGGAAGGAGCCTAGAGCCGAGACAAAGCCCCAGGCCAGCCTCAGAGCCCACACCCCCTCCTCTGGCCGCAGTCGAAGCTCTCCCTTCCGCGACATGTCCTCACTCATCACCCCGATGGTGCAGCTGCCCCCATGGGCCAGGTCTACACTCACCACCCATGTGTGTTTCCCCCCTGTGAAGCCATCCTGGGCCAGAACACAGGTGGCCCGGTCAAAACGCTGAGGGCTGTCTGGCGAGTTCTGCCATTTGTAGGAGAACTGAGCACGCCGGTGGTCCTCAGACAAGAGGAGCTTGGGGTGGGAAGTCTGGGGGTCTAGAGAGATGTACACTGTGGGAAAAACCAAAAGGGACACAGACATCAGTATAGGAGGGCCTAAAATCTCCCCCTGGTGTCCCCTATAAGCACTATTGTTACCAACAACATGTGCAGTGCCTACATGGACCAGCAGTGTGGCATCACCTGGGAACTGGTTAGACATACGGCCTCTCAGAATCTGCATCCTAACAAGATGCCCAGTGATGCATGCACATGGTAAAGGCTGAGGAGCCTGCCTCAAGGAGGCAGCAGCTCTCATATGGGTCTGTGCCGTCCTCTGGACAGCTGTTTTGCTCACCACACCCTGGCTGGCTTCCAAAGCTATGAGTGCCTGCTGGGACCTGCTCCTGCTGCTACTCTTCACCCTCCCATCCCTGTGGCTCTGTCTCAGGAGGAGACAATTCCTCCATGAAACTTGGTGGTACCCCCCTGCCTCCCTCCCAGGGCACTTGCAACTCATCTATCTACTTTCCATTCCCGCAAGCTCTCTGACTCACTCACTCTGCCTTTGTTATTCTAAAACTCTCAGAGTCTGAGGACCAAAACCTTCTGTAGACCCCTGCATATTGTAACTTTTAGTATTCATAAACTAAAAAATTATCATGCATTTGGATACATCCATGGGTTAGTGAGCCTCTTCTAACAATTCCTTGACTCCCAGGGTCTTTGGCTGTTTCACTGGGAACAAATGCCCTGAAGGGGTCCATTCTATTCATTCCTTTTCCACCCACAGGCCATCCTCCTTCTGTCACCCCAATGACATCTTAGAGGAAGCAGGGGCTTCTGACAGTTCTAAGAATATGATTTTAAATCCAGATTAAAGTTCCCCTTATCCAGAAAGCATTCCCTGACAGACTTCATCCCATTCCAGTTTAATCTTTCTATTCACCCAAGATGCACAGACCAGGATGTGAGCTTCATACCACACATGCTGTAGATGACTGTGCCTGTCCCTTCTTTTTTTTTTTCTTTTGCAGTTTTTGGCTGGGGCTGGGTTTGAACCCACCACCTCCGGCATATGGGGTCAGCACCCTACTCCTTTGAGCCATAGGCGCTGCCCAAGCCTGTCCCTTCTTCATGGTTCTCCTGAGTGCCTTGCAAAGGCAGTGACATAGGTATACACTATATGTATACAGACACATATGTATATATATGGATGATGCATATACACACGCATGTGTGTACATATATGAATATTGTGGTGCCCAGTGCAGAACCCTGCGTAACTGTCTCTCCTTTTCAGGAATTCATCACTCTCTCTCATCCTGATGTAGCTGCTTACCCGGCTCATAGTCCAACTCAAAACGGAGTTTTTCTGTAAAGAAGAAATAAAATAGGATGACATTTCATTAGTCTCACAAAACTACAGAACTTTTAGTGATGAGGAAACTGAGGCACATAAGAGAGGAGGAACAAAAAGAAGGTGGGGGCTGAAAATCTCCACTTTGAACAAGTTCCAGGGGATCTGATGCTGCTGGGTGGGCCCCCACTCTGCAAACCACTGCTCTAGCTCTGAGCGGGCAGAGACTATATTTGCCTCTATCCACAGGATCCAGGACACAGTAAATGCTCCAGAAACATTTGCCTAATAAAGAGAGGAGTGGGTCCATTTATTTCTTGTCTGCTTGGAAATTATTGTGGGGGTAGTCAAAAGTGAGCCTTTGATTAGGTAAACTTTCCTTCACTGCCAGGCCACTGAGAATACTTCGAAGAAGTAGACTTATGGGGAAAAGTTCTTCTCAGGTGACACTCTTGTGGTTGGGTCATTGAGAAATAGGTGGCAGTAGGAGGTGATGACATAGAGCCACATTCCATTACCATCTGTCATTTCAAACTCTCCCCCTCCCTTTCCTACCACCATTCCCTATTCCAGAAAAGGGAAATGGGCACAGTTCCTACATGGGCAGTCCAACTCAGAGAGCTAGACCAACAGAAGGAAGGTGGGGGCGAGGAGAATGACATACCATAGGATAAATACTGTGACAGCTACTAATTAACAATGTTTATTATCAAAAATTTATTACATATTACAAATGTTGCCATGGGCTTTTTGACTTATTGAGAATGACAAATGTTGTTAATCAGTATCTTTTATATTATTTAATGCCAACTGATCAAATTTGTGTAATTATTTTTTAAATCAGTTCAATATTTTTTCCCAAAAATCTTTTTATATTTTTAGACAGAGTTTCACCTAATAACCCTCAATAGAGTGCCGGGACGTCACAGTTGACAACAACCTCCAGCTCCTGGGCTTAGGCAATTCTCCTGCTTCAGCCTCCCAAGTAGCTGAGACTATAGGCACCTGCTACAACACCCAGCTATTTTTGTTGTTGTTGTTGTTGCAGTTTGGCTGGGGTCAGGTTTGAACCCGCCACCCTTGGTATATGGGCCAGCGCCCTACTCACTGAGCCACAGGCACCGCCCCCAAAATCTTTACCTTTATTATCTCTCTTCATAATATTCTAACAGGCAGATTTTATAAGAATCTGCAAATAAGGAAATCAAGGCACCAGAAAGGGATAAACCTTGACACAACACCATTTGGCTATGGATCACAGAGGCCATTCCTAAACCCGGGCTTCATGCCCACCTGTGCTCTGTGGGGACCCGAGATTCTCTTACCCAGAAACATTTTCATCTCCCTCTGCAGTGGGAGGGCCTGCTGGGGGAAGTCCCGAATCTTCTGACCCAGCTCAGGGGACACAGCTTCTGGTTTCCGACACTTTCTGGTTTCACATCTAATGCACAAAAATGGTGGGGTCTGGGAATTAACCTCCTTAATGATGCCTTAAGTCAGCCTGTCATCTTGTTCTGCCACTTCCCATAGACCAGCGGTTCTCAACCTATGGGTTGTGACCCACGGGAACTATATTAAAGGGTCGTGGCATTAGGAAGGTTGAGAACCACTGCCATAGACAGATACAAATTCTGTAGCATTGCCCAAAGGTGCTATGTATGGATGAGTATTTACGGCTATACCTGAGAATGCACCTGTGTATGTGCAAGTTTCCATGTGAATTTATGTCCTTAATGTGAGAATGTTATACGTTTATATGGAATAACTAGGCATGTGGTCCATGTGTGTATACTTTGGTGAGAAAAGGGAAGAGAGGAACTATATCACCTACCTTATTAGCGTGCTTCTGATATCCTATGGGAGAGAGACAGAGGCATTCAGTTTCCAGTTTCTCCTTCCCATTTTTCTTAAGACTAAAAAATACCACATTCCTAGCCCTGGACAGAAAAAAGACATCAGATCTGTAAAGTCACAGTGTTAGAGTTTACTAGGCTTGGGGATCAGAGCACAATCATTTTATTTTATAGACCCAGGTAGTAAAGCAATCTGCCCCTGCTTGTTAGAGACAAAGATAAATCCCATACCAAGGTCTCTTGTTTCTCAGGCCTGAGGGTATCCCCCTAAATCATGGTGCCATTCTGATGCCTTGTTGAGACACCAATATTTCTCCTCCAGTGCAAGGAAGTGAAATAAATGAGGACAAACTTCCTGACCAGCCAATGCTAATATTTAGGTCATGGAGAAGGGTTTGGAAATATCATCTGACGTTTGTTTGCAAAGTACTTGATACTTAACTTTTTTCTTTTTCTTTTTCTTTTTTTTTTTTTTTAGAGACAGAGTCTCACTTTATCCCCCTCAGTAGAGTGCTGTGGCATTACAGCTCACAGCAACTCCAACTCCTGGGCTTAGGCAATTCTCTTGCCTCAGCCTCCCGAGGAGCTGGGACTACAGGCGCCCGCCACAACGCCCAGCTATCTTTTTGTTGTTGTTGTTGCAGCTTGGCCAGGGCCGGGTTTGAACCCACCACCCTCAGCATATGGGACCAGTGCCCTACTCATTGAACCACAGGCGCTGCCCAGTACTTGATACTTTCCAAAGTGCTACTTCAAATTCCATTTTACTATTGTATCCTCACAAAAGCTCTGTGAGATAGTTAAGGAAAGTATCTTCCCTATTTGATGGATGGTGGGATGAAGAAATGGAGACCAGAGAGCAAGGTATCCAGGGAACACTTGAGGAAGCATGGACCAGAATTGAATCCTGTGACCCACCTCCCATCTGGGACAACAGAGATGTGTGAGTGAAGGAGATAGGGCTTAGACAGGCACAGGTGCAATGGTCACAGTGAAGCAGGGTTCTGGGCTCACCGTCAGGAGCTCCCCTGCCGGCCTCTCATTCTTCTTTTCCAGTTCTTCAATCAGAGCACTAAACCGGCAGATCTCCCCAGCGACCAGGAAGTCAAACTCATCCTGTTGCTTTAAGATGTCTCCATCGAGGCTCTCCAGCTGCGCTAAGAGGATGCTCTGCTGTTCCTTCAGGAACCGGCTCAGGTGTGCAAATTCGGAAATCACCTGTTGTCTCTTAGTGGACACCTGAGTCTGAAGGGGCAAAAGGAGAGGGGTGAAGGAAGTTTTCAAGTTCATTTCTCCTCCTCTTCCTTTTTCTTCTTTTCCCTTACTTTGCTCCCATCTCCTTCCTAGTCTAGATCAAGATCCTCCAAAAATGGGTGGTAAAACCAGAACAACCCTCCACGCGCACACACACCCCTACACGCATGCACACACACGTCGGTGTTTCCTTTCCACTCACATTCCACTCTTGAAAGCTAGACTATACAGCATTACCTCAGCATCATCTGCTGGAGCTTCTAAGCGGGGTAGGACTCAGACACGGTGAAGGGGAGGTGGTGGGGACACTCTACCTCCTGCCTTTTGTGAAGTGCACACTTTGTGCATGGCCCTAAGCTACTTTACAGGCACAATCTCATTTAATCCTTGCTGCAGTTCAATGAGATTGTGACAATTTTTACTCTCCATTTTATAGATAAGTAAACTAAAGTTAGAGAATTGTAAGTTCATATAGTTAGTGTCAGAGTCAGGATTCAAGCTCAGAATGACTTCAACGCCCTATGTGTTTTGTTGCCTTGGTCAGGGACACAGCAGACCCTGAGGAAGGGGAGGGACTTAGAGAAGGAGTGACGACCTACCAGGAGGACTTGTATTCTTTTCTTTTCCCTTGACTGGATTTCTTGAATCTCTTCTCTTTCTTTTCTTAGACACTGAAGACATTTTTGTATTTGTTCCTGGGGAGAAGGAATATAAAATACCTAAGATGGAAAAAAATTATTTGTGCAGAGGTGTCACCTCATCCAACCCTCTACTTCCAGGAATGAAATGGCCCCCAGGAAAAGTGTCTCTCCCCTAGCTGACAATGCCTGACCCTTCTACACCCTGACAGCTTACTCTCTTTGGGTCTAATTCCTCTTGTTTTGTGCTCCAAAAATTTTGATCAGGGCTTTCTCCCTTTATCTTGTGACATTAGAGGTTGTGACTTGGTTTACCCATTTGAACCTTTCTTCGGGGTAAACATCCTAATTCATTTTGCTTGTTTTAAGTGATATCTGGAATCTGTCCTGAGTTTGATGTGCCCTTCACTGAAATTAGTCCAAGTTCCTGACATATCTCAAAGGGAACATGTGCAAATAACAACCCTCCTTTCTTACTAGAATCAGTAATCTGTGTATGAGGCCGGGGGTGGTGGCTCACCCCTGTAATCCCAATACTCTAGGAGGCCAAGGCTGGTGAATTGCTTGAGCGCACGAGTTTGAGACCAGCCTGAGCAAGAGGTAGACCCTGTCTGTAAAAAATAGCCAGGTGTTGTAGCAGGAGCCTGTAATCCCAGCTACTTGGGAGGCTGAGGCAAGAGTATCCCTTGAGCCCAAGAGTCTGAGGTTGCTGGGAGCTATGATGCCATGGCACTCTACAGGGGGTCAAAAAAAGTGAAACTCTGACTCAACAACAACAATAAAATCTGTGTATGATTCCAGAGGGGAGAAGACACTTGGATAACACAAAATTAATAGAATTGTTTTTAAAACTGTTTGTTCTAGAATAGAGTTAGAAGCAGGTAACATACATAAATGTCCATACATATATGTTCAAAAATACGTATAGAACTCTCAACATCAAATGCTAATTAACTAAGACGTCCACACATACTTGTATTATACTAAAATACAATCTATAAACAACTAAAACCAGCACACACTAATTTAATAACATAAAATGACATGCCACCCAAACATAAACTCTCCAGCAGTTACACTTAAAATATTCAGATACATACATACTCAGACCCCCACTCAAACACACCATACACACCTAAAAACATGAAAACATTAATGCACATACACACCATGTAATCATTCCTCCTTCCCGAAGACACACCTGATACAATGCACAGACACACACACTAATGTTTTGGCCACTTGTTCACTCAACTAGTATTTACTGAGCTCCCATTATCCTTTGGCCAACACAAAACACATCAAAAACATAAAACATAAACACAGGATGTTCCGTGCCTGAGTCTGTTGCCTGGGTAATCTTATTAGCAAGGAGAAAGAACTGGGCCTCAAACTGGCCTAAGTAATTCACAACTCTGCTCTGCTCCTCTTAGTCCAGTCCAGTCCCGCACCTGTCCTGGGATCCCTCTGTCCCCTCTCCTACCCTGTAGGGAGCCGCTGCATCCTCCAGGAAGCGCAGGGTGTGCGCCCTGTGCTCCCCGGCCTCCCGGCACAACACACACAGCTGCATCTCATCATCCTCACAGAAGAAGTAGATCTTCTCTCCATGCTCCTGGCAGATGTCGTCCTCTTCCGAGCCCAGCATGGACACCAGCTGGAGGCGCCCAATGTTCTCCACCACGTTGGCCAGCTGCCAGTTGGGCCGGAAGCTTCCAGGGCGGAAGGGCTCCTTGCAGAGAGGGCAGGTGGGGGACTCCTCCAGGTGTGGGCCTGGGATCTCACAGTACCGGGTAAGGCAGCTGCGGCAGAAGTTGTGGCCACAGTCGATGGTGACCGGCTCCCTGAGGGTGCCTTGGCAGATGGGGCAATTGACCTCTTCTGCCAGGCTGGTCACAGAGGCAGCTGAGGCCATGTTGGTGCTGCTAGGCCTGTGGCCTCCTCAAGGTCTCCCTCTTTGCTTGGTAGAGGAAGAAGGTCTGGGAAAACAGTGAGGACACACACCACACACTCACACACCTGTACGTGCTCATGGCCACACACAGGCACATCTTAAATACACACCAGTACCCGCATTCTCATACACACGGACAAGGCACCCACTCTGGCAGCCAGGGTTCTGTTGTCCTGCCAATAGCACAGGTGGAGAATCACAGAAGAGGAGCAGGACAAGGGGCTCACAATGTTCCAGAGATGACCTCAGTTACTCTCTGGACTGGTGACCATGATGGGACTTGATGTTCCTTTCTGTCCATCCAGAGACACAGTGGAAGGAAAGTGGTGATAGCTCCGCCATCCACTGTTGAAAGAGATGTTCTTTGGGAGACAGGAGGGAGACTGGGTAACAGAGTGGAGATGCCACCCAGCCTCCCTGCAGTGTGGCCAGCTGTCTCCGGGGAGATTGGAGGTATCAGCCAGCCCAGGGCTTGCCTGTCAGTGGGCAGGAGAGTGTGGGGACTCAGATAAGGTCCTTGTGCCCTGATACACATGGCATCACTAACTTCAATGGCAATCCCCCAACTGTCCTACCACAGCTTCAAAAGAGGTTGGAATATTCCCTGTTGGGGGGAGGTAACAGCCAGCATTTATTCATAATGATTACATGCCATACAATAATATAAGCTATTTAAATGTATGATCTAATTTATTTCCATTCTACACCATCAATGCTAGTAGGCTCTCCATTTTATAAATGAAAAAGCTGAGGCTCAGTTAGCTTATTTATATTTCCCAAGTAGGAAGGTGAGTGGCCATAACTTGCAGCCAGATCTACATGTCTTCTGAGCAATGCTGTCCAATAGAAATGCAATGTGCATTTAAATTTACAATTTAAAATGTCCTTTTAGCCATAGAGAAATTGTACAAAGAAATAGGTGAAATTAATTTAGTAATGCCTTTTATTTAGCCTTACATTTGCAAAATATTATCATTTCAAAATATGATCCACATAAAACATTATTAATATTTTATATCGTTTTTTATTTGTGTGTGGCATGGTCTTTGAAATCTGGTGTGCATTTTACATATATGGCACACCTTAATTCACACTGGCCACATTCCAATGCTCAGTGACCCCATGTGGCTGGTGCCTCATGTATTGGACAGTGTAGCTCCAAGTCTACACTCCAAGGGGGACATGAGGGTGGAAAGGGAAAGTGAGTAAAAAGGGAACAACAAGAGGGGTTGGGTTGATCACTCAGGCGAGGACAGAGGGAGGCCTGGTTTTATCAGCAGATGCAGGTGAGTGGATGAAGAACTGGAGTGCTGGATCTCAGTCCTGCTATGGCTTGTGCAGAAAGAGCACAGGGCGTAAAGCCAGGAGCCTGGGATCATCCCCAGTTATGAGGCTTTCTAGCTCTGTGACCTTTGGAAAGTCATTTTACCTTTCACTTTATAGTTCCTTCTCTGTGAAATGAAGGCAATGATACCTTCCTAGACGGTAGTTGGAATGAGATATAATAATATGAAAACACTAAACCCTAGATAAATATGATTGACACTTTATCTTTCTGGTTGTTTCCTAACATTCAGCAACATAAATCATTTAATTTTGATTTCTTGCCTTCTCCCACTTACAGTAAAAAAATAAAATTAAAGTCCATTGTTACCCAAACTCCAGCCGAGATTGTGGTGCTGGGTAGGGGGGTATTTAGGAGCACATGAAAAAGCCAGCATGAGCAGACGAGGTGGGCAGGAAAGGAGAGCAGAGGAGCAGGCCAAGTAAGCAGTCATCACATGGTGACGTGCAGTGTCTTAATGGCATCTCCGCCCCAAATTCTCCGGAAGTCGACACTTCCCACTCCAGTCTGGACTTTGATGCTCCGGGCACACCTCAAAGTCAGAAGTTTATGGCTCCCACCTGCTCAATCTGACAGGAAGTGTCTCCTCCCCATTTCTCCCCACCCACTGTGGACAAGAGATTCCCAGAAACGCCATCTCCCTGTGACCTCATGGTGTTCTCTGCTCCCCACCCCAGGGACAGAAGGAGTACACAATCAGCTTACTTGCCCACCACTGGGAAATTCCAGGTAATTCGAGATGCCCTGGAGTTTGGACCCACTCAGCTGATGGGTGGTGGCCAAGGGCTCTGCATGCAGAGCCCAGAGGTGGAGCAGGTTGCTTCCCTGGGCTGACATTCCTGCCTTCCTCTCTGTTGGCCTCCTGGTCCTTTCCTTCTGTGACTCATTTAAATGCAACTCAATTTCAGGAAAAGGAAATTCATGTGGACCAAGGCAAAGGCCTCAGTGGACAGCTGGGGAAGGCACTGTGATGCCCTCAACCCCCACCCTGCAGGTGGTCCGTGAGGGGGCCACCTGTCCTGCCTGCACAAGGCCCCTGGAGGATGCAGTGACCACTACCTGTGGACACATCTGCCAGCTCTGCCTCCTGCTGCCCTCCCAGATGGGAGCTCAGCCCTCAGGCAGGATCCTACTCTGCCCGCTCTACCAGGAGGAGAAGCAGTCAGAGGCCCCCATGGCCCCTGTCCCCCTAGGCCCGCTGGAGGAGACTTACTGTAAGGAGCACGGTGAGAAGATATACTTCTTCTGTGAAAAGGATGCTGAGTTCCTTTGTGTGTTCTGCCGGGAGAGTCCTTCCCACCAGGCTCACACTGTGGGGTTCCTTGATGAGGCCATTCAGCCCTACCGGGTAAGAAGCGGAGCTCTACCTTGGGCCTGTTTAGGGCGGGACAATGTTCGGTTGTGGGTAGAGAGAATGGGATAGGGACCTGGATGAAGGGCCTGGCTTCCATGTCAGGAGACCCCGAGGCAGAAAGACACTAGGAATACTCCCAGACTGAAAAGGGACATAGCTCCTCTTGGATATATAGGAGGTTATTGTCTCAGGGGGACTTTAGAGCAAGCCCTCAGAGGACCCCACAGTGATGAAGCCCAGAGAACTGCAGCTGTGGTTTTGCTCACTAAGGACAGACAGCCCTGGTGCAGAGTAGGATCTCCTGCAGGTTATAGACAGGATGAACTTGTTCTCCCAGGGCCTAGACTGGATATGGGATTAACAAGACCCTGATCTCTGGAGATCAGAGGAAAGAGAGGAGCAGACAAGGGCAACCAGCAAGGGCTGCTCTTGCTGAAAAGGGGAGGGTGGCAGTAGTCCAGCATTATAAGAATTTCCCACCTGGTCTTGGGGTCACTATCCATTCCTGCCTGCCTCTCAGATCTCTCTCTTATCATCTAGTCACTAGGTCTGGAAGTGGCTTTCTCAGGAACATCTTCAGAATCTTGAACTCTCTCCATAGCCAGGCCCTCCCCATCTCTCACCTCTATTTTGAAGTCTCTAGTGCATTCCCTGTCTCCATCTGTACCCTTTCCAGTTGCCCTCCAATCTGTTGGAGGGAGATCCTCTGAAAACACAAAGCCAATCCAATCATGTTGCTTCCCTTCTCAAAATCCCTCCATGGATTCCCTAGTGTCCAAAGAAAGTCCACTGTCTTAGCAGGCCACTCAGGCCCTTTGCAGTCAGGCTCCTGCCTTCCTGTCCACTTTTCTTTCTCAGCCTCCCTCCTCAGCACCATGTCTCCAGCCAGGCTGAGCTGCACCTGCTGCTGCTTATTTGTTCTGTTTCTAGTCCTTTTTACACAGTTTCTTCCTCCTAGAATGCTTTCTTCCCCACCTCCCATCCCTTTTTTCTGTTTTATCATTTCAATCAGTTTTAAGTATACAGTTCAGGAGCATTTCTGGCCAACTGGAAATCAATCTTTCAAGGCCCACTGTAAACGTGTTCTGGTTCCCTTAACCCTTCAGGCAGAACCATCCTTCTGATCTCACTGTTCACACACTATGACTATTACATTTTTCTATCTATATTTTAATCACTCATAACAGACTTCCACCTAAGATGGAGATATCTTTATCTTTGAATCCCTCAGCACTCAGTGGTGGGCCTGGAATGTGGTAGACAACTCACGTCTGTGAGTTGAATTATTAATGCACCTCTTTCTGCCCATTCTCCTCCCCATAGGATCGTCTCAGGAGTCGGCTAGAAGCTCTAATTGTGGAAAGAGATGAAATTGAGAACATAAAGTATCAAGAAGACCAGAAGCTTCAAGTGCTTCTGGTAAAGGCCACACTATTGGCCACTTTCTCCTTTGGGATTTTCTTAACAGACCCTGGGGAAGCCTGTTGGTTAGTGTCTGTTGCCTGGCTGGAAAGAACCAGCAAACTGTTCTCATTCACCTTCCTGTCATTGTACAAGGGCCTTTGGGATCTCAGAACATCAGCACTGGAAGTAGTTCTGACATCTTTCTAATTCAAGATCCATCTTATTTGCCATTTTTTACAGAATGGAAAAGTCTAGGAAAGTGATACTCCCAAGGCCACATGCCAAAGCCCAAGTTCATGATGAAATGACTAGCACCTGGGTCTCCTGACCCTTAGTCCATTGCTCTTCCTGCCCAAGTCTATCTACTTGAACACACCATCTGCAAATGGGAATCTTAGGATCAGAAGGTGTATATTCATGTCTGGATTCTAATCCTGACCACAAGGCTGACCTTGAGGACGGGGGCAGATGGTGTGGCTATATCTGGCTCCCTCTCACCTTTTTCTTCATGCTACACAATTATGAAGAAGGAAATTCAATGTGGAAATCTCTGGTACCTTGACCAAGGAGACGGAGTGTGGGTCCAGGAAGATCTCTCCAGCATCCCTTAACTCCTGTCAAAGTACCCATGGATACCCTGTACATGGTGACCTTCATGGCTAAGACCAATCTCACACTCTTCCACTAAGTTGCGTTGATTCTAATTCTAGAATCAACTAGATTGCGTTGAATCTTCCACTACTTGCGTTGAATCTAATTCTAACAACTTCCTTTTGCCTCAGTTGTTTTTTAAGAAATGACGACAGGCATTCTTACTCAATTCTATGAAGGCATGGTAGGGTTAAGATGGTATCATAGTTGCAGAAAGATTTTTTAAAAGTTAAACATGGCTCTTAGAGGATAATATGGCATTATTATTAGAATCTCTAGTTAAGAAAATAGCACAGCCTTCATCATTAGTAAGTTCACTTATGACCTATCTACTTTTCTATAAGGTGTCTTGGAACAAGTTGTTCCCTATCTCTCCTAATGAATAATAATATAGATGATCCTCCCAGAAGCTAGCTCTGAGCCCCTGTCTGTCCTACCCCTTGCAGGCTAAGATTGAAAACAAGAAGCAACAGATAGAAGCAGCTTTTGAGAGGCTGGAGCAGGACCTGAAGGAACAGCGGTGTCTCCTGCTGGCCAGGCTGAGAGAGCTAGAGAAGCAGATTTGGAAGGAGAAGAATGAGTACATCACAAAGGTCTCTGAGGAGGTTGCTCAGCTTGGAGCCCAGGTTACAGAGCTGGAGGAGAAGTGTCAGCAGCCAGCAAGCGAGCTTTTACAAGTGAGAGACACCCCACCACTTCATAGGATAGAGAAGGACTCCAGGGGAAAGGGGTGCCATGTGATGGGCTGGAGAGAGGCAGGAGAGGGAAGTGGAGATTATTTCTAAAGGAAAGGACTGATAGTTATCTGGCCCAGAGAGGTTATGGAGATATGGATCCAGAGGTCTTGGAGACTTATATGGTCCAGGCCATATACTGTGGTCATGCTAAGGGCTTTGGGATCAGACAGTCTTGGGTGTGAGTGTCAGCTCTTCTAATCATGTGTCTTGGGTAAATCTCTTGACCTCTTTAAACATGGGGATAATAATAGCAACCCTCTCCATAGGATTATCATAAAAATTATAAGAAATAATCCATATAAAATGCTTAGCAGGGTCCCTGGTACACAAAGAGAACTCAATAAATGGTGCCTGCTGTGGTTATTGTTATGTGATATCACATCAGACCCAGCTGACAACTCAAGGCTGACCCCTGTTTACCATTGTTTTTTTTTTTTTTTTTGAGACAGAGTCTCACTTTCCCCTCAGTAGAGTGCTGTGGCATCACAGCTCACAGCAACCTCCAACTCTTGGGCTTAAGCAATTCTCTTGCCTCAGCCTCCCAAGTAGCTGGGACTATAGGTGCCTGCCACAATGCCTGGCCTTTTTGTTGCAGTTGTCACTACTGTTTTAACTAGCCGGGGCCGGGTTCAAACCCTCCACCCTTGGTATATGGGCAGGCACCCTGCCCACTGAGCCACAGGCACCACCCTTTACCATCACTTTTTAAAGGTTAGAGGCAGTACCCATCCCCAAAACAAGGTTGAGACAGAGAAATCAGCATAAATTAACCTACCACAAAGTCCCAAATTAGTAAGAAAGCATGATGTAAAAGAGCAGTCTAATGAGTAGGTAATTAAATAGATATAACTCTCTAGAAGAAAATTTTGAACTGATATTTCAAGGAAGAAAGGATGTATAGAATCCCTGACAGGAGGACATGTGGAAACTAAGTGCATGTTCTTGTCTTCTTTTGTAGGATGTCAGAGTCAACCAGAGCAGGTAGGGCCCACTACCCAGTCCCGACTCCTTTATGCTCAATGCGGAGAGTGAAGGGGGAGGGGTTTTCACTGCCACCCACCTCCTATCCCCCAGAAAGGCAAAAGCACTCTGACAGTGAAGCCTCATTCACTCACACACACGTACACACATATACACATATGCAGTCCAAACTTATGGAAGGTTCATTTTTAACCTGATCAGTTAAAAATTCTTGGTATTATGACACATTTTTTTCTCTTACAAGTGAAGTTATACGCAATAATCATGTTTTAAGACTGGTCCAGGAACATCTATTTAATCTGTAAAATTATTAGTACCTAACACTATTTAAAATATAATCTGAAATGGAAATATTTTCTATAGAAAATAACAAGTATGGCTGGGTGTGGTGGCTCATGCCAAATCCTAGCATTCTGGGAGGCGAGGCGGGTGGATTGTCTGAGCTCAGGACTTTGAGACCAGCCTGAGCCAGAGCAAGACCTTGTCTCTAAAAATAGCCGGACATTGTGGCAGATGCCTATAGTCCTAGCTACATAGGAGACTGAGGCAAGAGAATCACTAGAGCCCAAGAGTTTGAGGTTGCTGTGAGTTGTGACCCCATGGCACTCTACCAGGGGCAACAAAGTGAGACTCTGTCTCAAAAAAAAAAAAAAAGAAAAGAAAATAATAGGCATGGAATCTGGGAAGACTAGTCTGTTCTTTCATTCATTTTCCCACTCTATTTCTCCTATTTCCTTCAGCATTTTCTAATGTTCCTATGAAAGGACAGCCACCAGGAGCTGGGAGGTATTATAAACACACACCCCTTCCCTTTCCTTTCTGCTGTAAGCCCTAGGCACTGCACTGAGATGAGAAGAGACATATAGCTAAGGAATGCTTAGCATGTGCTTGTGCCTACTGGTATGTAGGAAGTATAAAACCCCAGTGCCTACGAATCAGGAAGGCACACACACTTTTCAAAGAGATCTGTAAGGGAGTGAAAAGCTTGCTTAGGGTCATATAGCCAGTGCCTAACAAGGACTGAGCTGGAACCAAAATTAAGGGCTTTTTCATTGCAATCTATTTTTTCTTTTACCTTCCCCCCTTTCTCTTCTAGCCTCTTTTCCTTTATAAACAGCACACTGTTTCTCACTGTATTTCAGATAGAGGTAACTGATCTCTGCCCCTCTCAGCCTTCACAAACCCAAACATTCTCCTACAAAGCCTACATCCAGTTCTTAAAGCGTGACTACCACGATTTAGTTCCTTTTAGGTCTAATTAAAATGCCTCTTGCTTTAGTCACCATACATTTCCAGCAAAGGTAAAGAAATGATACTCAACCAAATTATTCACTGCAGACAGAAAAATCATTCCTTAACACGATTTTAGCCTCATTTGATCTATATCACCCAAACATTATTGTTGTAATTTGGACTTAGCTTGTTACCAACTTGTCTGCAGGTGTGAGATAAAGACTGTTGTGAGGACAAAGACCATTTCTCATGAACTTGTCAAGAAGATCCGCGATCTCCATAGGAAAACACTCGCCCTCCCAGAGATGATGAGGACATTCTCAGGTGAAGAGGAGGGGGCCACGGCTTTCCCCGCTCCCAATAGGTGCTCTTCTGCATTTCACCCATCTCCATCTTTCCCCACCTTTGAGATTGGCTCAAGACATTATCCCTCCCCAAAGTCTGCCCTCAGTGATCCCAGTTTACTCAGGGGCACCATTTCCTAGAGTATCTCCTCTGCTCCCTAAAGACAGGCACTGGACTGGGCGTCCAGCAACGTGAAGACTACTTCTGTTCCATTAGAACATACTAGAAACCAAGTCTTCTCCTGTCCCTGTCCTCATCCTGCCTTTAGAGGTGCCTGTAAGAAATAATAAGTCACAGATCTTTCTTTCTATTTCTGCTTCCCCCAGAAAACTTGGCGCATCATCTGGAGACAGATTCAGGTAAACAGTGGGGAACTGGGGGAGCTGTTCTTTCAGTCATCTATTCAATTCATGGCAGGAAACAGAGCAGTTAAATGCATGCATCCTTGAGCCAGAGTGCATGGGTTCCCTATTCTAGCTCTTGCTAAATATGAGACACTGGGGGAAATACTAAGCCTTTTTGTCCCATAGTTTCTTCATCAACAAAATGAAAAAAATAATAATAATAGTACTGCACCTACTCCATAAATAGCTGTAGCTGTGAGGATTAAATGAATTAATACATGCAAAGAGCTTAGTATAGTATCTGGCATATAGTAAATGCTCAGCTAATGTTAGTTGCTTGTAACCAGCATTGTGCTAGACTCTTTATAGACTTGAGTAAATACTGTATGATTTTTTTTAAAAAAGCACTTACTTCAAATTGGCCCTTCATTTAGAAATTGTTCTTACAAGTGTCACCTCATTCTGATATAAAAACAATGCTTCTCAAATTAAATGTGCTGAAAAAAATCTTGTTAAAAACACAGATTCTGATTTAGTGGGTCTGGGATGGAGCGCAACAATTTGCCTTTTTAACCGCCTCCCAGGAGACAGGGATGGATGCTGCTGGTCCACCCACCGCCCTTTGAGAGGCAAATCCTTACAGCACCACTTGCCAGTCAGGTAGAAGAGCTGTCATTGTCTGTCCTCATGGAACAGAAGGAGAAACTGAGGTTCTGAGAAGCCGGCCAGTGGCAGGCTGCACGCGGCAGTGCTCTTTCTGCCCCTACTCACATCACGTGGTTACCTGCTCTAGGGACGTTTTTGATTGGCTGCCTCAGCTGTTGATGTCCATGCTGTCCTCCCTCTAGAGGTCATCACTCTGGACCCTCAGACCGCCAGCCAGAGCCTAGTCCTCTCGAAAGACAGGAAGTCGGTGAGGTACACCCGGCAGAGGCGGAACCTGCGCGGCAGCCCCCTGCGCTTCGACGGCCTCCCGGCTGTGCTGGGCTCCCCGGGCTTCTCCTCGGGGAGCCACCGCTGGCAGGTGGAAGTACAGCTGGGCGACGGCGGCGGCTGCGTGGTGGGGGTGGCTGGGGAGCAGGTGAGGAAGAAAGGAGACATGGGTCTGAGCGCCAAGGAGGGCGTCTGGGCCGTGATCTTCTCGCACCAGCAGTGCTGGGCCAGCACCTTCCCCGGCACCGACCTGCCGCAGGGCGACATCCCGCGCGCCGTGGGCGTCGCCCTGGACTATGAGGCTGGGCAGGTGACCCTCCTCGATGCCCAGACCCAGGCACCTATCTTCACTTTCACCGCCTCTTTCTCAGGCAAGGTCTTCCCTTTCTTTGGCGTCTGGAAAAAAGGTTCCTGCCTGACTTTGAAAAGCTGAGGTAGAGTGGAGACCCGAGTGTCCTGAGACCCAGCTCCTCCCCTCGCCCTCAGAAAGTCCTTGGGCAACTCCTGATGGAGTGAGGCTGGAGTGAGGCCAGAGTGAGGCGGGAGGGCAGGTGATCTCAGACCTGGAACAGGACAGTGATGTGTGTGCTTATGTATCTTAACGCCTTTCAGCTCTCTAACGCCCCAGACCTGACCTTGACGCCCGGCCTTCTCTGCATGGGAAGAGGAGGACCAGAGGCAGTGGGGGTTGTGCCTTGGACATCAGCAAACCTGGGAGTCAGTGGGCTTTGGGGAGGGGGCTGGAATCTAAAATAAAATCTTTAAAGCTTAAAAATATTCATCATAGGAAAAACCAGGACCTCATTGGGCTTCCACAATAAAATCGACTTTTTACACACCAGGAGACTCCTTTTACACACCAGGAGACTCCTGTGCAGGGTTTAGGGCCTCTTCATCAGCCCTTTTTTTCTGCTCAGGTCATTTCTCTAGAGTTGTAGAGAATGTCCTAATAAACTGTGACCCGCAGACCTCTGCATTTCATGTGTCTAATCACTGCTGGTGAAGGTGAAGGGAAGGCTTAAATCCAGTGGAGTGTCTGTAGCAACAACTTGGGGCTAACAAGGGTTGAGGGGCTAGTAGGCTCCAACAGGGTGAGTCCTGGTCCTTCTATGGCCAAGACACAACCCTGCCCTTTCCTTTACACAGGACTTCCCTGCTGACAGTGGGACAGTCACCAGACATTACAAAAGGCTATGAGGTTAAAAAAATTGTTTTCAAAAATATGATATTCATATGATACATCTGTGAAATACATAGGACTTTTGTTTTTCTCATTCTGTGATGAAGAAAACTAGTCCACAATTAAATGAATTTAACTAACAGCTGGTCTGACCTGCTAAGGTAGAATCTACAGGTCCTGGTGCCCAGTCCCTCATTGCAGTTGTTAAGGTAAATTAAAAGCAAGCCTAACTCCATTTTGATATAATTCTTTCCCCTGAGAATCAGTGGAAAGGCAAAGCAGGCCTGATTCCATTCTGTTGTTTTGCTACATTTTATTGCTTTTAGAAAAAAACAGTTTTGCTTGTCTCCTCACCCGTTGCATAGTATTTAAAGTCTACCTGGTTAGAACTGTTAGAATTATTAGTATCGGCTCAGCGCCTATAGCTCAACCGGCTAAGGCGCCAGCCACATACACCTAAGGTGGCGGGTTCGAATCCCCAGCCCGGACCCGCCAAAAATTCTCAACCAAATCCTAGCCA